CACCATGGAAGGTTCTAGGTTGCTGGCTAGCAAACAGGGATTCAGTAGCACATAGTGGGATCCCCCTGCCTTAACTGCTATAAACCAGACATTGGGCACCTTATGTTCACACTAAGAACCACCAAGGCATCACTGTCACCCACTTAATGATGGACTGCAATGAAATAATCTTTTGTGACAGTCCAGCTGCCCCACTGGAAGATGAAGCACAGCTAAGCCTGGTCAAATGCCATCCAAGCAGGTCTTCTTTTGTTCTGTCCATTGCACTACAGATCTCTGAGCTCTGGCTAGCTCACAATGACATTTTAAGTAGCTTTCAGTGCTTCATGTGGGCTCTAGCAGGGCAATTACATGAAATGTCAGAACATCAAATATGTAGTCCTGAAGTAGGAGATCAACTCTCAGTGACTCTGCACGCAGAACTGTGCGGGCCTGACCTACCGAAATTATATGTCTTTGCAGGGTCGCCCAAACAAAACGCTACATGCTTTACAGAGTGAGTGATAGCACGCAGACAGCTTCACTGCAAAACTGCTTCCACGAGAAGGATGTGAATCACACTTAACAGCTTCTGCCCCTTAGTGTGTAGGAAGGCTATTTTAGCCACATCAATACTTATCTTGTTTTCTATACGCCCCGTCATCTCACCATCACTCCTCACATTTATTATTCCTCACCATCTTCATCCTTAACCCCTTACATACCGTCCTTACCATCACCATCACTCCCACGGTAATCACCGCCTTTACCGTAAACACTACCACACCAGCATTGTCACCCCCACCGAGATCACCGTCACTAATCTTGCTTCCTTTCTAACCACCTTCACCATCATCATGACCACCATCCTTAAAATCATCATCGCCAGCATCATCACTGCCTTTATTATTTCTTCATCACCGTCTCCACAATCTCCTCCATCAATCACCGTCACCCTCACCAGCATCTTGAAGAAGTAAGTGACTTGCCCCTTTTGTTTAGAGGACACACAGTTTGTTTGACTGCTGAAGCCCATTTAGTTGTTGCTTATTTTCAACAGACTCAGAAAAATTCAGTTATTATCTTATCCTGTCTTCATTTGGGTTTCTGCCAAGAGACGTGAAGGTCTACATCAGTGTCTTCTCTATATTTACGGGGAAAAAGAAAATTCCAACAAGGTGAAAATGTGCTCACTACAATTCGAGAGGTGTATCACAGTTAGGTGTCATTCATCTCTCAAAGGTATATATGTGCAAAGTTCAGGCTGGGACAGGCACCCATTGGGTCTGTTTCATAGGATTCTGCTTTCAAGCAATCAACCTTTTCATTCCATGTGGTCATGTGGGAAAGAAGGAAAGTATTACATGTGTGGCCTTGGTAGAGAATTGGAGAATAGAAGGCAAACTGCTCTGTGCAAGTGCAGGCTTCTGTGTACACGTGCAGGCATTCCTGTGCACATCCATGGAGGTGGATCTCAGGTGACTTGCTCGTCACTTTCAGTTTTATTCTTTCTCACCAAACCTGGAGCGAGGCCATGTGGCCTCCATCATTCTCCTGTCTCTGTCCTCACAGTGCTGGGTTTACAGGCACAACCCTGGCCATACACAGCTTTTCAGATGGGTTCTGGTGTCTGAATTCAGGTACTCAGAATTCAGAACTTTACCATGTAAGACTTTGTTCAAAGACTCCGGCAGTGGCAGTGGGTGGGGGGAGCGAGAACCTGATGTTAAGAGCAAAGGGACAAGACAAGTAGACATCTGCTACCTAGTGACAGAACTCAGGGATGAGCCTCATGAGTCTAGCAAATCATGCCCCCCCCACATGTCCTGGGTGAAATAGAATGATTCTCATGTATCTGTTGTGCAAGATGTATGTCCTTGTTATTTTTATACTTGGTTAGGCAAACTGCCAACAATCTTTTGTCAAGCCCCATTCCCATGGTAAGTGTAATCCATTTCTGGCATTGGAGGTTGCCCTTGGTGATATAAGATGTCTAACTGGGGCATTGTCTCCCCAACTATATGGTGACTATAAACACATATATAAAAGGAATTTTAATGACCCAAGCCTAGGACCTGTTAGCCAAAGCAAAACAAAACAAAACAAAAATCTTGGTAGTGTTTAGCTGGTATTTAGGCAGTTGGTTCTTGGCAAATCCAGCTTTCTCTGAAGTGATACAAACTGATGGGGGACGTCCTTCTGTGTATATGTTTCTCTTATTGGTTGATGATTAAACACTGTTTGGCCAATAGAGGCAGGAAGATAGGCAGGGCTAAGAAACAAGGAGAAGGCTGGGGAGAGAGGTGCCATGAAAGAGTCACCATGTACCTACGGGGAAGTTAGGATGCACCAGTGTTCCCTGGTAAGATAAGGCCATGTAGAAATACATAGATTAGTAGTTATGGGTTAATAATTAAGACAGAGCTAGCCAATAAAAAGCCCTAGCCATCAGTCAACGGTTATATAATTAATATAGGGTCTCTGTGTGTTTAATTGGGTCTGAAGCGGTGGCAGGACCTGGCAGGACAAGAAAACTACAGCAACACCAAATATTTGGTTGGACACCACCATGAAGCTTTGAAGGTTTTGCTCTCCCGGAAAACAAAGTCGATGATAACGCAGCTCTTGAAGGCTAAGTGAGCGACAACTGGGATAACTTGCAGAGGAATCCATTAATTCATTCATTCACCCAGTAAACAGTGCAGCTGTCCCAGGAGCCCCAGGACACAAGCGACAAATGGAGGGTATGGTACAATGCCACAGCTGAGCCCAATGGGGGCAGCGGAGAGACGGCAGCAAACTCTTACCACATATCCATGGGAATGTTTTAAGGAGAGGATTGGGGTTGAGGTGTTTTGGATTTTTGTGTGTGTGTGGTTTCCTTTTTGTTATTTTTTTCCCTAGGCTGGGCTCAGCATATCAAGGGACTAGAAAGCTTTTTTTGTGGTCAGTCCCAGAGTTGTATGTGGATGATAAAGCCAGAGCTTACCATAAGCTCTCGGTGACCCACCCCACCAGCAAACTTAAAGGAGACAAAGGCAGGGTAGTGGGTGCCTCCCAGAAGCACAGATCACTCCCATAAATGCCCCCACTAAGATCAAACAGATCTGGTCATGAGCCAGACACAGGGCGGACATGACCTAAACATCACTGGGATATGATCAGCAAAATTCAGAATGTGATGAACTCCTTCAGAGAACTGACCAGGATCCTGAGCAAACAACTGCAGACAAGAGTAAGGAGAAGCCTAGATGTTTCCAGAAGCCCAGAGGCCTGCACAGGCCTTGCTTCAGAAGAACTAATTATAAGAAATGTGATGCAGTTGGCAAGTGAGGGCCCTGAAAAGACACTCTGTGACACTGTCATTATTAATCCTACGTGCAGTGGCGTCGCTGTGGCTGGGTCTATATGCTGTCCCTTATCTCTGTATGCCCTACTGGAGTGTGGAAATGTACAGTAACATAATGGCTGAATTCTGTTCAAAATCACCCAGGGAGGATGGGGGTGTAGAGCCTGATGGGCCAGGAAAAGCCATGTGCTGAGGACATGCACAGGGTTCCCTCCCCAGTTCTGCTTATTTTGTGTTTAGCATTTTATGTGGCACCTTTAAAAGCATACAGTGAAGTTAGGATCACACGTATGGCAGCTTGGGAAAGTAGCCTACACCCTGGGCAAGCAGCCGTGATCACTGGGCAATGGAGGCCGTAGGCATGGGTAATCTATTCACAAACATACCCCACTTTCCAATTACATTTTCATCCCTTGGTACAAAATTGGTATCTACCTCTTCTTAGTTCCAATAACTATGGCAGGGTCCAGAAATAAATAGGATTTTTTTTTAGGTTACGGGAGATAGGGTAGGAGACAGTCAGAGAGAAGCAGAGGACCCTACCCTACCATGAAGGAGAAGCAGCAGGGCACACAGAGAAGACACGGACATCTCCCCTTAGCAGACTTGATGAGGTGATGGGCAAGGACCAACTTTGGCGTCTGTATGTAGGCATGTGCAGGCCTATGCTGGCAAGTGAGGCTGTTTAAGACAGTACAGGAGCTAAAAGAGTGCAGAAGGTCACTGGGTCAAGGCAAGGGGTTCCTCAAAGTGCTAATACTTTAAGATGGTAGGAACAGCCTCTACAGGCACAATATTGCAAGGAAAGGCCAGCTGTTGGCTGCAGTCTCCTTAGCAAACACGGGTAGCATATGCAGTCTCTCTGTGCACATGCATCTCTAGGGGGCACACCACTTGGTTCATGCATGCTGTCCCTAAATCATGAACGAAAGGAGAATCTTCTTAACGGCCGTGTCTTAATTGCATTCCAAAAAAAAAAAAAAAAGATGACAGCATTTGAATTGACAAGGAAGACAGGAGGATGAGGCTGTCTGCCTGGAATGCAGCCGTGAGAACCAGGTCTGCCAATACAAACCGAGCTTTGCTTACAGTAGACAGAGCGATGCCCGTGCAGTCAGTCACCAGCTGATTCCCCAAAGTGCTATCTGCATGGGTGTAGAATCTCTATAGGTTGAAGTTATAGCATAATAATACCTCTTTGGGATGGTCTTAGCAAAAGGTTGTTAGGAAGCAAGTGGACCAGAACCTACTACATGATATAAAGGAACAGGAGCCTGTGCCTAAGCTGTCATCCCTTGTAGATGCCGTCATAGCCAATAGAAAGCCACAAAAGTTCACCACTCTCACCAAGAAACTAAAAACCACAGTACTGACAAGGGCCACACTGAGGTCTGCACTACACACTGCATTGTGGGTGGTACTAACTGCAGACTGGACACCTCTGAGGATTAACTACTTAACCATACCTGAGTGTGTAGTTACGGATTGGGCCACCCAGAATGACACAGCATGGAATGTCTGACAGCATTTCTAATCTGTGTTGCAAAACACACGGTAGATGGCACAGTCCAGGGGCCAGCCTTTAGAGGTGAGAGATAAACCAGCCATCTATACCCAACTGGAAGATGTCATTAAGGCCAATGCAGTGAGAGCAGACCACAAAAACACTCACCGTCTCCCATGCTTGGGGAGTCCTTGGAGTCTCCTGGAGGTAACATCCATCTCTGAGAGGCGGCAGGTGCTGAGAAGGGCCTTGATGCTCTGACAGGGCTATGTAGAAGGTACCGTGGCCCTGCGTCATTGACTCTGGGAGGCCTCTGAGCAGTGTAGGCACCGAGTGCTGCAATCAGCTGCTGCTTGTCCACATCGTTGTCTACCTTGGGGCTCAGCTCATCTGGCTGGAGCTGGCTAAGGGGCCGCAGAAGGTTGTCAGGATACTTGACTCGGGTTGCGGGAGGATAGGTCAGAGCAGAAGTGTGAGCCACATAGGTTAGCATGTCCCCAGGGAAAGAGTCTTCACCCTAGAGGGGAAGATGAGACAAGATAAGAGTTAGGTCTCCATCAGTCTGTGCTCAAGAGGCCCTGACTCCATCCTCATGGCCCAACGGCACCAAGCATCCCTGACACATGAGCATTGTTGATTGGCCAAGATCCACACTGTGTAGTTACTGCAGCAACCATTTTTATTTACGGCTTTCTTCAGATGCAGCAGCCCATGCCATGAAAATCATACCATTCTGTGGTTCTTAATGTGTTCACAGGCGTGCAAACATCACCACTAAGTCATTCCAGAACATCCCAAATCAGAACGTTGTGCAGGGTACCTGCTCCTCTGTCACCAGTCCAGGGAACTGCTGTTTTACTTTCTGTATCTGAGAGCTTGTTACCCGGCAGACATTTCTGTAAATGGACCCTCAGACCATGTGGCCATTTGCATCTGGCCCACTTCATGGCATGTACCAAGGTCCCCTTCCTCTTCAACACTGTGTGCTGTTAACACATTCTATTTTTACACGGACCAGATGATGGACACCCAGGCTGTCTTCCACTTTGGGCTACTTTGAATAATGCTGTTAGATCACTGCAGGCTGCCAAGTCTGGGAGATGGACACATATTGGTTCTCTTGGGTATAAGACTAACAGATGAATCCATAGGGTCATATTGTCACTCTAGTTAATACTTCTGGATCTGTCAGCTTGTCTTGCAGCTCTACCAAACAAAGAATGTCATCTCATTATCCTCATAGTTATCTATACCAGTTATACTTGTGGCTAGGAAGTAGGGTCTCATCATGTTTTTGTTTTGCTTTTGTTTTGTTTGCATTCCTCCGGTGGCTACTGATGTTGAGGGATCTTATGTGCCCAGTGACCATTTGTATGTCATCTCTGAAGAAATATCAGAATCTGCTGCCTGTGTGGGTGTTTGCTGAGACTCGGGAGGATAGCTTCCCTGTAAACACCCCTCCACTTCAACAGAGGTTCCAAATGCCTGAAGCCTCTTCCTCCCAGTCCTGACTTCACTGATGCAAGTCTAAATCCTACTCCACAGAGAGAGAATATATCCCTATGTATATACTTTGTATGCATGTACCATGTGTATACATGTGTGCCTATGGAGGCCGGAGGTTAGCATTGGGTGTCTTCTTTTATTACTCTCCAGTTTGGTATTTTGAGACAAAAACAAGAAAATTCTTATTGAACATGGAGTTTACTAATTTTGAAAGACTAGCTGGCCAGAAAGCCTCAAGGATGTTCCTGTATCCTCCTGGTCATCTTTGGAATTACAGAAATGTACTTCCTGGTTTTATTACATGGGTGTGGGGCATCCAAAATCACGTCCTTTTGTTTGTACAGGAAACACGTGATGGAGGCCGGAGGTTAGCATTGGGTGTCTTTGTGTGTATACATGTGTGCCTATGGGGGCTGGAGGTTAGCATTGTGTGTCTCTGTGTGTATACATGTGTGCCTATGGAGGCCGGAGGTTAGCATTGGGTGTCTCCGTGTGTATACATGTGTGCCTATGGAGGCCGGAGGTTAGCATTGGGTGTCTCCGTGTGTATACATGTGTGCCTATGGAGGCCGGAGGTTAGCATTGGGTGTCTCCGTGTGTATACATGTGTGCCTATGGAGGCCGGAGGTTAGCATTGGGTGTCTCTGTGTGTATACATGTGTGCATATGGAGGCCGGAGGTTAGCATTGGGTGTCTCTGTGTATATACATGTGTGCATATATATATATATATGCCAGAGGTTAGCATTGGGTGTCTCCGTGTGTATACATGTGTGCCTATGGAGGCCGGAGGTTAGCATTGGGTGTCTTCTTTTATTACTCTCCAGTTTGGTATTTTGAGACAAAAACAAGAAAATTCTTATTGAACATGGAGTTTACTAATTTTGAAAGACTAGCTGGCCAGAAAGCCTCAAGGATGTTCCTGTATCCTCCTGGTCATCTTTGGAATTACAGAAATGTACTTCCTGGTTTTATTACATGGGTGTGGGGCATCCAAAATCACGTCCTTTTGTTTGTACAGGAAACACGTCACCAGCCAAGCTGTTTCCGCACCCCAAGGGACAGGTTTCCCTGCAGGAAGCGGGAGGTTAGGACATGTTTGCTATCAATCCAGGAGCAGCTCCCGTGTAGTACGACCTTGAACTGATCACTGCACCTTTTGAGACTTGTTTCTTCTGACAAAGGAGCTTGAACATCACCTCTTAGGTTCTTCTGCTGCTGTTGTCGTTGCTTCCAAAATGACGTAACTCTAGCTATCACCTAGCTCGTTTCATTTCATGTGCGAGACTTGCTTCAATCAACTGGTCTTAGAAAACAGAAAGCAAGAATGCTGTCACAGGGGCTGCCCCTCCACCATTCCCCACAGATCCAGTGACAGAGTCAGCTGCAGGCTCTGCCGCTCTGCACACACGGCCGGGTCACTGCACCAGAGGCTGGGGACTGCATCCGAATGCTCATTAATGCGCCCGCAGCATCCCTCCCTCTCCTAACTCTGATGCAGCCTGAAGGGCTCCACTCAAAGCATCTCTAATTAGCACCCCACGCTGGACAGCTCCAGGCAGAGACACCAGGCTCAGCACATCTGTGCAGCAGGCTGGGACAGACAATCTGCTCTCAGTGTTTATGCTCTGACTCAAATTAAGGAGAAGAGGAGGAAAGAACATTCCAACATATAACACAAATAAGAGTCTTAAAAATCAAAAAAGCAACAACCCAGAAAATGTTAGCTCCCCAGTATCCTACTCTCTGGTCCCATGCAATGGCACAGTCAGTTCTAAGGTGTCTAGGCAACTAGAATCAGGTGTCAAAACCAGGAGGGGACTTGTTCTTCAGCAACTCAAGGAGGAAGTCTATTCCAGACCCACCCAGACACAACTCCAGAGTAGCTTAGCATCAATCACACATAAGTGGATGGGCATGTCAGTATCCCTGGTCACTGTGTCCATCATTACTGTCATCACTGTGCTTTCTGACAGCCAGATAACCCCAAGTGTGCTGAGGAGAGGCCCAGCTGTGCTGTTTCTTCAATCTCCTCTTTTACTCAGAGTTTCCACAGTCTCTAGCTTGCAGATGTTTTGAGTTTCAACATAGCGATAATGAGGTGCTTCCAGAAGTGACATTAGGTGATATGCCAGACACCTGGAGGTTACCAACCGAGAAACAACAAGACTGGTCAGTTTTCAACTCGAGGTGGCACCTGTGGCATGAGAAGTTTCCCAGACACTTGTAGGACCTGGGTGGGGTGCTGGGTGAGGCACACAGGGAGGCATGATACATCTGAGAGTATTCCCAGAACTTTCTGAGATTCAGCAGGAGTGATTTCCCTCCAGGTACACTCCCTACTCAACTATCACTATACCAGAAAGGGCAGGGCCACTCAGCGCAGTGAGAAACAAATACGAAAGAAGGTCCATTGGGAGTAAGCGGTCCTGCCCAGCATAGCTCTGTGCACTACATAGCTCTGAAACTCCCATCTAATTCGTTCTGCTTTACCACCTGGAAGACCAGACAAAATAATTTCCCTGTCTTCGGAAGTTGCTTTACAGAATAGGGAGACTGGCGGTAACCAGACTTGGCTTAGAAGACGGCTCAGAAGAGGAATGTGATGAATGATGGCTGGTATTAGTAGCATCCTTACCATCAGCAGCCCAGGAATCCCACCATTTGCAGAAGTCAACGTATGAGCATCATCATCTCTATCCACAGCATCCTCAGCATCACAGCATCCTCAGCATCAGCACCATCCCACCTCTGAGCATCACCCCTTCTGTCAGCGTGTCCTCATCACCATCAGCATCCCTGCTATCAGCAGTACACCGACCATTAGCAGCAGCATTGCTATTGCCACTGTGTGTTGAGCTTTTAATGATGCTCTGCTGGAAAGAGTCACTCTAACATGGCCCTGTCCTCAGACAGCTTGCAGGTTAACAGAGGAGCTAAGTCAGAGAAACCAATCATTAGTTAGAATCACACTACAGAGAGGTCCAGAAAATCAATCCCCTTTGGGATGAAGTGATTGCATTCAGTGGCGCTGGTCAGAGCAACTTCATGGAGCTGCGGCCTGCCACATTTGCCCGTCTGCCCAGATGATCAAGAGAGCAGCCCTCCTTGCTGTCAGATTTGCAGGCTACAGTGCCAGAGGCAAAGTCAGGCCTCCTTGGACCTGAGTGCCTCTCTTGGACCCCTGCCTGTGTCTGTTTGCACAGCTATTGCTCGGACTGACAGGAGGGCCTGGAGGTCCTGGGACTCCCACAGGGCACTCTACATAGACAGGACTCATCTGCACTGTCCACTCAGCTCATCAGATATTCTCTTGTCCAAGGAGCCAAATGAAACCAGGAAACTCAAATCAGTGCACTGTTGACCACATAACACACATCTTTCCCGGTGTGCCCAAAGGCATTGTGGACAGTCATGTTGATCAAGATGTAGCTTCAGGCCTGACAAAACAGTGCAGCTGGGGGTGGGGTCCAAGGCTCATTAATGAGATGGCCTCATAGCATGACACACATTGGATGGCTTACTGCTAAAGGGGTGTAGGTATGTATGAGCCAGACACAGACCACTGATATAAATAAGGCCTTGGCCATGGGAATGGTAGAGGGTGGCGTTTTTGTTTTCTCTGTCTCTGTCAGTTTGTTATAGATCTGTCTCTCTGTCCTCCTCTCTCCATCTGTCTGCTCCATCTCTGCCCATGTGTGTCCCTCTGCCTCTCTGTGTGTCTCAGTCTGTGTGTATCTTTATGCATGTGTCTATCTCTGTCTCTGTTTCTGTCTCTCTCCCTCTCTCTGTCTTTGTGCTTGCTTTTCTCTGTCTCTATATTTTTATGTCTGACTAGGCCTATCTCTCTCCTATGCCTCTTTCTCTCTGTACCCGACTCTCTAGGTCTCTTGATCTATATCTCAACATCCAGTGATGTTAATTTCCAAGAGGGCTAGTGCTTTGTGTGGTCTACTGTGTGCAGCTCTTCCCGACTGCACGAAGTCACCTGGACATAGCCCTCCTTCCCTTA